ATTGCCCAGGCTGGAGTGCAGTGGCGTGATCTTGGCTCACTGCAACCTCTGCCACCCGGGTTCAAGTGATTCTGCTGCCTCAGCCTCCCGAGTAGCTGGGATTACAGGTGCCTGACATCATGCCTGGCTCATTTTTGTAGTTTTAGTACAGATGGGGTTTCACCATCTTGGCCAGGCTGGTCTTGAACTCCTAACCTCATGATCCACCCTCCTCGGCCTCCCAAAGTGCTGGGATTACAGGCGTCAGCCATCGCGCCCTGCTGACAAGTACATTCTTACAGCAAAAAACTGAGTTAGAATTGGTCCCTGGAGCTATTTTCCATCCCTAAAAAGATGACGTCAAGCTATCATGTATAATAAATAACAACTCAATTGACCACGTATTTTCCTTTAAGCCTAATGATGAAATAATATTATAATGAAATACTTAGAAGTTTTAAGGGAAAAAATCCTTTAAGTCATTAAATTAAAATTTAAACCAAAACAATAACTTCACTGTTTTAGAATAAAATTGGCCTATGAAAGGTTTGATAGGGAACGATAGTAAGATTAACGTACTACAGCATTTGCCTTTAGCGTTTACTTAGTAATACTTGGAGCTATCATAAATGTGCAAATGAAGACATTATTGTATTACTGCTGAGATTAATATTGTCTTTTTCAGATTTCTAAAACATTACAACAAATGCACACATGAGGGCGCTCTAATCAGCCAGATATGGAGAGGGCATAGGCATTTGTTGACTTAAGTCAAAACTAGTTCTATACTTTTACAGATGGAAAAATCAAGGTCCACCGAAGAGGTTATGATTCTACATGAATTATTCTCTAGAGGAAATAAATTGGGTATTAGAATTTTAAAAAGATTGAACAGAAATCCCTGTCAGTGAATTTATGCTGGAGAATTTTGACTCTTATCCCAGCAACTCCTTATTGAAAATCTTTACCCATGGCATGACATAATTTATCTTCAATCTTAAATGGGTTTGGTAATAGTGTTTATAAGATGTAGGAAAAACAGTTAATTAGAATATTTTTATGAACTTTTGCTCTATAAAATTATAAAATGTTAATTGTGCTTCATTTATACTTTTTTTTTTTTTTAAGATGGAGTCTCACTCTGTTGCCCAGGCTGGAGTGCAGTGGCGTAATCTCGGTTCACTGCAATCTCTGCCTCCTGGGTTCAAGCGATTCTCCTGCCTCAGCTTCCCAAATAGCTGGGACTACAGGCACACGCCACCACACCCAGCTAATTTTTGTATTTTTAGTAGAGATGGTGTTTCGCCATGTTGGCCAGAGTGGTCTTGAACTCCTGACCTCAAGTGATCTGCCTGCCTTGGCCTACCAAAGTAGTGGGATTATGGGTGTGAGCCACCAACACCTGGCCCATTTATACTTAAGGCTGATTCTCAACTGATTTGGGTAAGATCTTTAGTCTTTGTCCATCTCTGACATAATTCCTAGTTTGTCCTTCGGCTTTCCTATATATATAAAGCTACCAGGCCCAGGCTGCTTGCAGATTTTCCAAGGAAGGAGTCCCATAAACACAAATATTTTATTAGGGAGAAGCAATGATGGGAATATAGAATGTAGATTTTTTTAAATTTAAAAATCAGTATGTAGAGCTGGGCATGGTGGTGTGTGCCTATTAGCCCAGCCACTGGAGAGGCTGAGGCAGGAGAAGCCCTTGAGCCTAAGAGTTCAAGACTAGCCTGGGCAACACAGCGAGACCCTCATCTCAAAAAAATAAAATAAAATAAAGTATTGCAATATTTATTATATTGGCACCTTTTTTCAACTTAAGCACTATCCTCATCAAAGGAAGCTTTGTTTGATTAGACCCCCCCCAGAGGCTGGCCACTTCCTCATTTCTGCTTTTTCTCTTCTTTTTGAGATGGAGCTTTGCTCTTGTTGCCCAGGCTGGAGTGCAATGGCGCGATCTTGGCTCACTGCAACCTCCACCTCCCGGGTTCAAGCGATTCTCCTGCCTCAGCCTCCAGAGTAGCTGGGATTACAGGCACCTGCCACCACACCTGGCTAATGTTTGTATTTTTAGCAGAGACGGGGTTTCATCATGTGTCTCGAACTCTTGAGTTCAAGCAATCTACCTGCCTTGGCCTCACAAAGTGCTGGAATTACAGGTATGAGCCACTGCGCCCGGCCTCATTTCTACTTTTTCAAATAAGTTAATTTTCTTTAAAATATATATATTCTTTTGGCCGCGTAGTGGCTCATGCCTGTAACCCTAGCACTTTGAGAGGCAGAAGCAGACAGATCACTTGAACTCAGGAGTTCAAGACCAGTCTGGCCAACATGGTGAAACCCTGTCTCTACAAAAAGTTAGCTGGATGCAGTGGCACATGCCTGTAGTCCCAGCTACTCGGGAGGCTGAGGCAAGAGAATTACTTGAGTCCAGGAGACAGAAGTTGCAGTGAACTGAGATCACACCATTGCACTCCAGCCTGGCTGATGGGAGTGAAACCCTGATTCAAAATAAATAAATAAATAAATAAATAAATAAATAAATAAACTCTTATTTAAAAAAAAAAAAAAAGCAAATCATGAAACAAAACAAAACCCACGGCTCTAAATGAAAAAGATCTCTCCTCTAGGGGGCTAGGCAATAGAAAAGAAAATAGATCATGAATTTCGTGTTCTCATTTGTCTTCGTTAATGACTTATGTATGTGTATATATATATATATTTCCATTGAAGACATAGATATGCATTTGATCACCTACATTTGTTTGTATTTTGAGTCATAAATTAAGTCATTTCCTGTCCAGAAAACTCCTGACAGTCTTATGATAAAAAATATGAAATTTTAAAATCACAAATGCAAATAACAAGCTGGGCACAGTGGCTTACGCCTGTAATCTTAGCTCTTTGGGAGACCAAGGTGGGCAGATTGTTTGAGATCAGGAGTTTAAGACCAGCCTGAGTAACATGGAGAAACCCCGTCTTCACAAAAAATAAAAAATTATTGGGGCACAGTGGTCTGTGCCTATAGTCCCAGATACTCAGGAGGCTGAGGTGGGAAGATCGCTTGAGCCCAGGAGATGGAGGCTGCTGTGAGCTGTGGTGGCACCGCTGCACTCCAGCCTGGGTGACAGAGTGAGACCCCATCTCAAAAAAAAAAAAAAAAAAGAGAGTGCAAATAACAGATGACCTTGCAAACATCAAAAGTTATCTTTATTTATAATAAGTTTTGTCTATATATAATGAAATATATTAGACAAGTAAAAAATGTAACAGTATGCATATGACTTTATTTTATCTTGGCCCTTCCCATTACTCTGCCCTCATCTCTTTTTCTTTCCACTGAGTCCTTCCACATTGGTCACACCACAGCAAACCTGACAAGCTTCTGCCTGAAATAGCACCATTGCACTTCTCTTCCCTTTGCCTGAAACATTCTTTTTTTCTTTTTGAGATGGAGTCTCACTGTCTCGCCAGACTGGAGTACAGTGGCACGATCTTGGCTCACTGCAACCTCCACCTCCTGGGTTCAAGAGACTCTCCTGCCTCAGCCCCCCGAGTAGCTGGGATTACAGGCACGTTCCACACCCCGCTAATTTTTTGTATTTTTAGTAGAGATGGGGTTTCACCATATTGGCCAGGATGGTCTTGATCTTTTGACCTTGTGATCCACCCGCCTTAACCTCCCAAAGTGATGGGAATACAGGCATGAGTCGCCATGCCTGGCCAACATTCTTATTCCCCTTTTATTTGACCATTGAACAAAAGCTCTAAGATAGCAAAGGTTTTGTCTGGTTTAGTAGGGATCTCAACAGAAAAACGATGAAACAGTCAGAATAATTACCAGACATTTTATATAAATGGAATCATACACTATGTGATGTGTGTGTTTGTGACTGGCTTCTTTCACTCAACATGACATTTTCAAGGCTCATTTGTGTTGTAGCATGTGTCAATACTTCACTCCTTTTTGTTGCTCAACTATAAGGTTTATTGACAAAGTGGTTATTTATTTAGTAAAGGGTTATTTACAAATGTAAAAGGATAGAGGAACCATAAAAATGAGTGTAGTAACCCCGAGCCAGTAGTAGCTGCAATGTTACCATCTTTAGAACCAAAATGGCAAGGGGAATAGTGGTTAGTTGAACCTGAAAGAGTCAGCATGTAAAATCGGCTGCCCTGAAAGAGCAGTGACCTTCACTGGAGAGACACAGCCAGCCCAAGTTCCCCTCTCGGTGAGGGAGACAAAAGAATACATATCCTTGGCCGGGCGCGGTGGCTCAAGCCTGTAATCCCAGCACTTTGGGAGGCCGAGACGGGCGGATCATGAGGTCAGGAGATCGAGACCATCCTGGCTGACACGGTGAAACCCCGTCTCTACTAAAAAATACAAAAAATTAGCCGGGCGAGGTGGCGGGCGCCTGTAGTCCCAGCTACTCGGGAGGCTGAGGCAGGAGAATGGCGTGAACCCGGGAGGCGGAGCTTGCAGTGAGCTGAGATCCGGCCACTGCACTCCAGCCTGGGCGACAGAGCGAGACTCCGTCTCAAAAAAAAAAAAAAAAAAAAAAAAGAATACATATCCTGAGCCCACCTTCCTTTCCACTCTAATTTCCTGTCAGTTGGCCAAACCCGACCAAGGCATGGGAAACCTTTTGATGTGGATTATAAGGTCAGCCTCTGAGGGCAGAGTGGAGAAGGGGGAAGAGTGGGTCTAGAAGGGTAAATAGAAGACATATGACAATTTCTGATTTGCAGCACCTAGAACATTGCCTTATATATAGCGATTTTAAAAACTATAACAACTTTGTTGAGGTTTAAGTCACAAGCCAGGCAATTCACCAATTAAAAGTATATAATTCAATGGGTTTTAATAGATTCACAGAGTTTTGCAGTCATCACCACAGTCAATTTTGTTTGTTTGTTTGTTTGTTTTTGAGACCGAGTTTCACTCTTGTTGCCCGGGCTGGAATGCAGTGTCACGATCTCAGCTCACCACAACTTCCACCTTCTGGGTTCAAGTGATTTTCTCGCCTCAGCCTCCCGAGTAGCTGGGATTACAGGTATGCACCACCATGCCCGGCTAATTTTCTATTTTTGGAAGAGACAGGGTTTCTCCATGTTGGTCAGGCTAGTCTCAAACTCCCGACGTCAGGTGATCCGCCTGCCTCAGCCTCCCAAACTGCTGGGATTACAAGCGTGAGCCCCTGCGCCTGGTCACCACAATCAATTTTAGAATATTTTCATTTCTCCCAAAAAGAAATCCCACACCTATTAGCAGTCACTCCCATTTCCTCCATCCCTCAGTCCTAGGCAACCACTAATTTACTTTCTTTTAGGATAGGATTTGCCTATTTGGACACTTCATGTACATGGAGCCATACAATTTGTGGTCTTTTGTGACTGGCTTCTTTCTAGTAACCTGATGTTTTTAAGGTTCTTTCATGTTATAGCATGTGTCAGTACTTCCTTCCTTTTTTTTTTTTTTATGGCTCAATAATATTCTGTTGTAGGAATATAACACATTTTATTTATCTGTTTATCACTTTTTTTTTTTTTTTTTGAGATGGAGTCTCAACTCAGTCTTTCACCCAGGCTGGAGTATGGTGGCATGATCTTGGCTCACTGCAGCCTCTGCCTCCTGAATTCAAGCCATTCACCTGCCTCAGCCTCCCAATTAGCTGGGATTACAGGCACGTACCCCCATGTCCCGCTACTTTTTGTATTTTTAGTAGAGATGGGGTTTCACTATGTTGGCCAGGCTGGTCTTAGACACCTGACCTCTAGTGATCTTCCCGCTTTGGCCTCCCAAAGTGTTGGGATTATAGGCGTGAACAACCACATCCAGCTGTCTCCACTTTTTGGCTATTATGAATAATGCTGCTATGAACATTCATGTATAAGTTTTTGTGTGGACATATGTTTTCATTTCCCTTGGGAATATGATGAAGCCCGGCATTGCCAGGTCATATGGTAACTCTATGTTTAAACTTTGGAGGAACTGCCAGACTATTTCCAAAGCAGTTCCAGCTTCTAAAATGCAAAGTGTTTTACATTCCCTCCAGCAATATATGAGTGTTTCAATTTTTCCACATTCTCTCCAACACTTGTTATTATCTGTCTTTTTATGATAGCCATTCTTGTGAGTGTGAAGTGGTATCTTAATGTGGTTTGGATTTGCACTTCCCTGATGGCTCATGACGTTTCTATGGTTTGAATGTTTGTGTCCTCCAAAATTCATGTTATAACCTGAGACCTAATGTGATGATGTTAAGAAGTGAGGCCTTCAGAAGGTGGTGATTAGGTCATGAGTGCTCTGCCCTCGTGAATGAAATTAATGCCCTTATAAAAAGGCTTCATATAGCATTTCTTCTTCTTTTTTTTTTCCTTTCTCCTCCTGCCATGTGAAGATGCCACTGCGAGAACAGGAACAATGGAACAGGCCCTCACCAAATGCCAAATGTGCTATCACCTTGATTTTGGATTTCCCAGCCTCCAGAACTGTGAGGAATAACTTTTTTGCTTATATGTTACTCAGTCTCAGGTATTTTGTTATAGCAGCACAAACAGACTAAGACAGAAATTGAGTGTATTTTCTTGTACTTATTGGCCATTTATTTTCTTTCTTTTATTTTTCTTTTATTTTTTTAAGTGGGGTTTTGCTCTGTTGCCCAGGTTGGAGTGCAGTGGTGCAATCTTAGCTCACTGCAACCTCTGCCTCCCAGGTTCAAGTGATTCTTGTGCTTCATCTGCCTGAGTACCTGGACTATAGGCGTACGCCACAACGCTTGGCTAATTTTTCTATTTTTAGTAGAGATGGGTTTTTGCCATGTTGGCCAAGCTAGTCTCGAACTCCTGGCCTCAAGTAATCTACCTGCCTTGGCCTCCCAAACTGTTGGGATTATAGGCATAAGCCACAGCATCTGGCCTTTATTGGCCATTTGTATATCTTCTTTGGAGAAATAGCTGTTCAGATCTTTTGTCCATTTTAAAATTGGGTTCTATCCTTCTTTATTATCAAGTTGTAAGAGTTCTTTATGTATTCTAGATCCAAGTCCATTGTCAGATACAATAGTCCCCCTTATGCTTTCTGCAGTTTCAGTTACCTGCAGGTAGCTGCAATCCCAAATATTACAGTATTTTGAGAGACAGAAAACTATTCATGTAACTTATATTAAAGTATATTCTGGCCGGGCACGGTGACTCACGCCTGTAATCCCAGCACTTTGGGAGGCTGAGGCGGGCGGATCACAAGGTCAGGAGTTTGAGACCAGCCTGGCCAATATGGTGAAACCCCATCTCTACTAAAAATACAAAAATTAATTGGGCGTGGTGGCAGGTGCCTGTAGTCCCAGCTACTTGGGAGGCCGAGGCAGGAGAATTGCTTGAACCCGGGAGGCGGAAGTTGCAATGAGATGGCACCACAGCACTCCAGACTGGGTGACAGAGAAAGACTCCATCTCAAAAAAAAAGTATATTCTAATTGTTCTATTTTATTATTAGTTATTGTTGTTATTCTATTACAGTGCCTAATTTATAAATTAAACTTTGTCATAGGTATGTATGTATAGGAAAAAAAATAGTATATATAGAGTTTGGTACTACCTGCAGTTTCAGGTATCCACTGGAGGTCTTGGAACATATTTTGTTACATATATATATTTATAGATATCTGTATATTTATGTATCTAGATATCTATAAATATATATGTTTATATATCTATATCTAGGTAAATATATATATATTTTTTTTGAGATAGGGTCTCAGTCTGTCGCCAGGCTGGAGTACAGTAATGCGATCTTGGCTCACTGCAGCCTCAACCTCCTGGGCTCACGTGATTCTCCCACCTCAATCTCCCAAGTAGCTGGGACCACAGGCACATGTCACCACATCTGGCTAATTTTATGTATTTATTGTAGAGATAGGGCCTCTCTATGTTACCCAGGTTGGTCTTGAGCTCCCCCACCTCAGCCTTCCAAAGTTCTGGGATTACAGGCATGAGCCACTGTGTCTGGCTACATATTTTCCACAAATGAAGTGGCCTACTTTGTATATAATTTGCAAATATTTTCTCCCATTCTGTGGTTGCCTTTCACCCTTTTTTTTTTTTTTTTGAGACGGAGTCTTGCTCTGTCACCCAGGCTGGAGTGCAATGGCGCGATCTTGGCTCACTGCAACCTCTGCCTCCCAGGTTCAAGCAATTCACCTGCCTCAGCCTCCTGAGTAGCTGGGATTACAGGCACCCGCCACTATGCCTGGCTAATTTTTGTATTTTTAGTAGAGATGGTGTTTTACCATGTTGGTCAGGCTGGTCTCAAACTCCTGACCTTGTGATCCGCTCACCTTGGCCTCCCAAAGTGCTAGGATTACAGGCGTGAGCCACCACGCCCGGCCGTCTTTCACCTTTTTACACCCTAATCTTTACAACTTGTGAATCTTTCACCTTCTTGATGGTATTCTTTGAAGCACAAAAGTTTTAATTTTGATGAAGTCCAATTTATCAATATTTTTTTCTTTTGTCATTTGTGCTTTTGGTGTCATATCTAATAAGACTCTGCCTAACCTATGATCACAATGATTTACTCCTATTTTTCATGTGAGTTTTATAGTTTTCACTCTTACATTTAGGTCTGTGACCCATTTTGAGTTAATTTTACACATAGAAATTTAAATAAATATTACTGAATAAATAGCATCATTAGATTTAAACTATTCATAGTAGCCACTATTGGTGAAGATGTCTGGGAAATAAAAATTCTCACACAATATTTTTGGAGTGTAAATTGGTACAACCTTTTCGAAGAAATATTTGGTAATAGCTGTATAACATAAAAATGCTTATATCCTTTGATCCAATAATTTGATTCCTAAGAATTTATCTTACAGATATATCATAGAAGTTCTTAGTCAGCCTCCACTTAACCAGTTCACCAGAATAACCAACACTATAATTCCCTCTTTGGCCGGGCGCGGTGGCTCAAGCCTGTAATCCCAGCACTTTGGGAGGCCGAGACGGGCGGATCATGAGGTCAGGAGATCGAGACCATCCTGGCTGACACGGTGAAACCCCGTCTCTACTAAAAAATACAAAAAATTAGCCGGGCGAGGTGGCGGGCGCCTGTAGTCCCAGCTACTCGGGAGGCTGAGGCAGGAGAATGGCGTGAACCCGGGAGGCGGAGCTTGCAGTGAGCTGAGATCCAGTCACTGCACTCCAGCCTGGGCGGCAGAGCCAGACTCCGTCTCAAAAAAAAAAAAAAAAAAACAAACCAAAAACAAAAAAAAACACTATAATTCCCTCTTTAAAGTACATTGACAGATGCCCACAGCCCACTGAACACTACACTTTAAAGCCACCAAAATGGGAAATTATAAACTATGTGTTTTGGGCATAGTGTATGTAAGCAACATGATGTAGAACTATAATAAGTTAACTCATTCTCAAAATAAAAGGCCTTGACTTTTTGTCAAAAGAAAAACATATTTGTATTTTTTAAGGTAATATAAAACATTTAAAACATGCATCAATTTTTTTTTTTTTTTAAGACCAAGTCTTGCTCTGTCGCCCAGGCTGGAGTGCAGTGGCACCATCTTGGCTCACTGCAACCTCTGTCTCCCAGGTTCAAGCAATTCACATGCCTCAGCCTCCTGTGTAGCTAGAATTACAGAGGTGTGCCACCATGCATGGCTAATTTTTGTATTTTTAGTGGAGACGGGGTTTCACCTTGTTGGACAGGCTTGTCTTGAACTCCTAACCTCAGGTGATCGGCCTGCCTCGGTCTTGCAAAGTGTGGAGATTGCAGGCGTGAGCCACCGGGCCCCACACATGCATCAATTTTTATGATTCCTTGCTTGAACTGATTAACCAGTCAACTACTGATTCCAATAAAGTTGGATGAGGTGGCTTATACTCTATTTATTTGCCGCCCCCCTTTCTTCCTTTCTTTTTTTTTTTTTTTTTTTTGAGACAGGGTTTTTGACATGCTGGCTGGAGTGCAGTGGCGTAATCTTGGCTCACTGCAGCCTCAACCTCCTGGGCTCAAGCAATCTTCCCACCTCAGCCTCTAAGTAGCTGGAGCTACAGATGTGTGCCCCTATGCCTGGCTAATTTTTGTATTTTTGTAGAGACGGGATCTCCCCATGTTGCCCAGGCTGGTCTCCAACTACTGGGCTCAAGAGATCCACCACCTTGGCCTCCCAAAGCACTGGGATTACAGATGTGAGCCACTGTGCCTGGCAACTTGTAACAATTCTTTGTATATTCTTGATACAAGTCAATTGTCAGATATAGTAGTAGTATATAATTAAATGTAATTATATAAAACTATATTTTATATAAGTACAGCATTATATAAAATAGCAAAAATTTGGAAATAACCAAATGTCTAACAATAGGTAGTTAGCTAAATAAATTGTGAAACATCCATGTAATGAAAGCCATACAACTATAAAAAATGATCTAGATCTATTTATACTGACATCGACAGATGTCTAACATAAATTACATGAAAATAGGAAGTGACAAAGAAGAGAGTATGGTATAATCTCATTTGCATTGAAGTAATCAAAAAAACCAACTTATATAATAGATACAGGCTGGGCAGGATGGCTCACGCCTGTAATCCCAGCACTTTGGGAGGTCAGGGCAGGAGGATCACTTAAGCCTAGGATTTTAAGATCAGGCTGGGTAACATACCCAGACCCCATATCTACAAAAAATTTAAAAATTAGCCAAGCGAGCTATGATCACGCCACTGCACTCCAGCCTGGGGAACAGAGCAAGACTGTCTGTAAATAAAATAAAATAAAATAGGCTGGGCAGGGCAGCTCATGCTGTAAAAGTGCTATAATCCTAGCACTTTGGGAGGCTGAGACAGGTGGATCACCTGAGGTCAGGAGTTCAAGACCAGCCTGGCCAACATGATGAAACCTCGTCTGTACTAAAAATACAAAAATTAGCCAGGAATGGTGGTGCACGTCTGTAATCCCAGCTACTCAGGAGGCTGAGGCAGAATAATGACTTGATCCTGGGAGATGGAGGTCACAGCGAACTGAGACCGCACCATTACACTGTAGCCTGGGTGACAGAGCGAAACTCTGTCTCAAAAAATTAAAATAAAATAAAATAAAGTAAAATAAAATATAATAGATATAGCTACATATGTGTGAAAAGGACAATAACATTAAATTATGAGTGTTTTCTGTTTCTCTTTCTGTCCTCCCTTGGGGGACCTTTCTAAGGGGGAAGCATTCTTCATTTACTTGATGAATTGTCCAACCATGGGGTCACAGGCTGAAAACTGAAAATGCCTATAGACTGCTTTACTTGTGAATAGGAAAACATAAAAGGAAAAGAAACAAGAGGAAGTAGGTTTGAGACAAGGTAGCTATGAGTTTGGAGGAAGAACGAAAGGGCAGTTTTGTGAAATGGAGGGAAAATGGCTAACGTGGACATTTTGGAAGTTTTATTGTGACATGCAATGTAATTTTCAGTTATTCATTTTC